TGCAACAGATATTGTATTTTCCACAATTAAAAAAAAATTTGGAAAGTTTTAATGTAAAATTAATAATTACAAATATTTAATATGTATAAAATTCCTTCCACCGATCTTGATATTACAATTGGAGTGTTTTCAGAGAATTAATGAATTTAATGGGGCAAATCCACAATAATAATTACTTTTTTTTAATGGCAAAAGTTGAACTTTGATGAGGGTCGTAATATGTAAATTGAAACAAATCTTGTTGAAAAGATCAATATAGAAGTAGAATTTAATTGACCTTTTTGTTTATTTTATGTTTATTTCTTTAAAAATACTTTAAAATATTTTATTATTTTAGAAAATACTTTGAAAGTGAAAGATAATTTTATTAAACTTTACTAGTCTGCAAGAGAACAAAACAAGAAGCTCCACAGATAATTATTTTAATTTGATTCACTTATTTTCTTTCTTTCTGTCTTGAGATTAATTTATATAGAAACTATTAAGTATTTTTTTCATCCTTTTGAGAACGAGGAACTGTCAGAAATGAGTTTGAAAGGAAATCTCGTCAAAAGTTCAACACAATTATCGTTTCTAATAAGTTCTAGTGCACTTGGCAAAACAGGTATAAGTGGGAAATGCGTAAGCGATAATTGTAGGTAGCAACGAGAGCCTATTTTATGTATTTGAACGTGAGAAACGAGCAGAACTCTCCAATTATTAAACAAACTCGCGATGCGTGGGCCCTCGGCGTCAACCTGAGCGCGAAAATAACGAGGTCCGATTCACCGAGAGCTCATTGAGCGACTTTGATCGCGCACAATATATGCAAATGAACAACGCGCGCGAGATGAATGGCCGCGCGCGTCATAAAAGTTTAATCGCGATCGTGCGTCGCAATAAATCCACTTTTAATTGCCGGCGAAATGGGACACTCGCAGCGTATTTTTATTTAATTTTTTTACGTTTCAATCAGAGAGAAACTTGATAATAATTTTCCTCCTCGGGAATAATAAAAGGCGCATGTGTTTCGTGCGTGCGACGATCCTATCTCTGGAAGAACAAACAAACCGACGCTCGACTTTTTGCCCTGTTGTCCGCGAGCGGAAAAAAGTGAGCGGAATGCGATTCACGTCCTGAGAAATGCCGCCTGTCAAAGCTAAATGATAACAGCGGAAAATTTATTAGCGAAATGGTACTTCAATTAAGCAGGTATTATTAGAGGAGCAACTGTTATTAATTTCCTACTGTCAGCGTGATGAAAAAATATTAATGGATGCTAAATTTTTATCTTTCCGGTGTAATCGCATTGCAGTTTAGCGCTAATTAATTTATCAGCGATGAATAAAAAATGTTAAAAACGATCAAAATTGTTGAAGGTTTGTAATTTAATTTAATTGGTTGATTTTAATCTCATCTGCATTGTTTTCAATTAATTAAACCATTAAAATTTTAGGGAATATACATATTTATTAAAATATCAATAAAATATCAATAAATTCACATAAATTTTCAAAAAGACTAGATTAATAAAAGACCTTTTAAAGCATTGCCCTGATATTTAAAATGTATTTTCCGGTATTTTCAATACAAAAAAATAATTATTAGAAGGATTACATCAGATAAAAATAATCGATTTCTTTGTTGGAAAGGTATAAAATTACCCTTTTCTTTTCAAAATTAAGGAAAGACACGAAATGTTGTAAAATTTTATCATTTAATTATAATGAATATTTTTAATTTAAGTTCAAATTTGTTTATATTTCTCAATTCATTATAAAATTAAATAATTGAAATAAATTTAAAATGAATTATTTATTAAATTCAATTTCCAGCTATTTTAAATTTGTGTTAAATTCTAAAACATATTTGAACTTTTCATAATTTCGCATTAATATTTCGAGATAATGTGCGCCAAAGTGCATCGGTTTTTCGCTGAGCATGTCAGGTGGAATGCAAGGTGCAAACAAAACGAGCAAACTCTCAACTGGCCTTGGCGCTCACCTTTGCAGCCACGGCCAAGGGCAACGTTGTACGCGGCTTCGGCCAATCCAAACTTTCCAAGTTCCTCAAAGAGCCCAAAAAATCAAACTCTTGATTAGTTTTTTCTTCTTTCCGCCGGAGCGTTTCAAACTCCTAAATTGGGGGCGGGTTTGCTTGTGCAGGAGATAAAAAAGCGAGTAAAAATAAATCGAGCGCCGTGGGTATTGCGAAACGGAGGAGGATCGTTTGCGTAGGATCGCGCCGAGCACTTTAACCTTGCGAACAATATAAAAGACGCTAGCTCTGACAGGTGTTTTACTTTTTTTCTCTCTCTCGCGGGAGGGAAAAAACGCCTTTTGCCTTTTTGCGACGTTTGATTGAAAAATGCAAATCGCCCTCGTGGGTTTTCGCGTGGAAAAAAATGTAAAAAATATTAAATAATTTATTTTTAAATTATGAAAAAAAAACATTAATTAATTTTTACTTGTATAATAAAAATTTTAAACTTTCCATGAAAATGCTAAATTTTGAAGGTAAAAATAAACAAAATAAACTATTAGAATATTCTAATTGAATTTTGTGTCCTTCTTTTTGATGATTTTTTTACGAATCACCATCATAAAAGAAAACATGCTCTCCGATTAAAGCGGCTTGTTTCATTCATAATCACCTGCTTACCGACTTTTTAATTAAAACCATTAATAATTCTACTTAATGAACTCGGCCTTTGAAATATGAATAAAGCACAAAACGCAATTACCGCTCTCGGATGCAAGTGCTGCACGAATAAATAAATTGCCCCGCGATAATCGCGACGACCAATCAACAGCGAAAAATTAATATTTCCACCGCGGAGAAAAAGCCATCAAGAGGTTCATTTTCGAGAATCGTAAAATGTAATATTTTTCCGCGTGCATTAAAATATCCGATGCATTTTGAAGAAGAAGCGGTTTTGTCTCTCGGGGGAGCTCGCAATAAAATTGCTCTTTGGAAGGCTCGTTGTTAATCACACATTAATCTTTATTAGCAGCTCCTCCGACACAACAACTTTCGTGTTCAGATAAAACTGCCGCGCTGCCGAGAAGAAAATCCTCTTCTGCTTCTTCACCTTCGTTCTCGGAACTCAATGGCGAGGAAGAAATCTCAATGGGCGAATTTGTTTTGCATCTTAAACCAGCTTACACGCACTCGCGACAAGAAAGAGTGAAACGACAAACATGCAACCTGACTTTCCTGCTCGACGTGGGAAAGCGGTTTTTTTCCTTTATTTATTCAGAAAAATAATCTTGGATTAAACAAATAAATCTTTTATAATTTTTAAACAGGAAACTAAGAAAATTGCAAATAAGTTATTTAAATTTTCTTCACTAGCTTGAAATTTGTCGCGCGATTTTTGCATTCAATGCAAGAACATAATTTTTTTTTGAAAAGAAAATAATTTGAATTTTATTTATTTATTTATTTCTCGATTAAATATTCCCATTTAGTTGTTAAATTTTAATTTATTTCTCTCTACTTTTCTGTTTCCCTCAAAATTGACGTTAATTTTCTTCATTAAATTTAATATTTTTCAAATTAAATATTTTTTTCATTAATTAACTTTATATTTTAAATTTGACTTATTATTCTTTTTCCATTTACAAATTTTGTATTCAACATAAAAATCACAGATAATCCTTTTTATATTTATTAATTTTAGCATTTTAATTACATTTTTGATTCGTTAGGAGTTTGAACTGGAATCTTAAAAGTTTCAGGCCATGCGCACAATCAAGTCATTACCTCATTAGTCTCTCAGATTTATCGAGTACAGCTTTCGTTTCTCAAAGGTGCTGGCTGGGAGATATCGAGTTTAATGAAAATCTGTTGCATGGCACCTGATTGTAAGCACTTTACAAAGTATATGCAAATCCCTGTTGAGTTTCGAAAGAGGCGATTTATCTTCAAGTCTTTAAATCGAGAACAAAGAGCGACTATTTGCCGAGACGCTGCTAATTACGACGAGCAGCACTTGCACAAAACTTGCATTACGTCAGTTGGTGAAAGTGGCATAATATTCTCGCCGCTCGACGGCCGGACGGACGAGGGGTCAAACGGGGCTCGGCGACCCCGCCGAGAGGCGACTTAGAGCTTTTCGCACTGCCCTGCTCTTTCTTTGGGCGGAAAAACGGCGCCGGTCACGACGCGTCCATTATTTATGAAGAAATCGCTGCAAATTGTAAATCGGAATGGAAATTATTTACTGCAGCCGCTTTCAATCTCAGATATATATTTTTTTTTAAATCCGAATCGTTTTGATGCCTTTTGTGCTCATTGGATTATTATTATTATTATTTCTCGTGCGATTGCGCAAGTGAAAAATGCACCTGCCTCTCTCTCTCTGAAAATAATTCATCCTGCTGAGAAACAAACTCGTCTGCCCACCTGAACATGAAATTTATTGTCGCTCGTTGCACAAAAGCCGATAAAAATACCAAATCCCATTATTTCTCCTTTCTTTCTCTCCCTTTCGCTTATTCTTGTTATTATTAATGCCGCGGCTCGGAAAATGCGTGGCGAGTCGCACCTCTCGCTTTTTCACTGCGCTCTGCAATTCCGAGCCTAATTATCATGCTAATCATTTCCCTCTGCGCAACACAAGCGTCGGTCGCGTCAAATTCACCTGTCCCGGCCGTGAATGAAATTCACCATCAAGATTATATCAACTTTCCGTATTTTTAAGTAATTTTTCCTCGAGTGATTCAAAAGATTTCCCGGAGATTTTCTCTTTTGTGTTTATATTTTTGGTGAATTTTGTTCGAATGATCTGAGATAAAAATCGGCAAAATTTCCGCCACTGCTGCAAATTGCACGCTTCTTTTGCGTCTCGGACGCGCTCTATCATTATTCAATAAACAAGCTGCGAGAAAACGAGAGTTTTTGTGCACTTATTTTCAACTTGTTCCTGCCTCCCGTGAGATGTTCGTGATTAACGCTTTTTCCTTGATATTGAAAAACTTTTTCCATTCACGTTTTAATGCCTTGCTTTGTTTCTGCAGTTGGTACACAGCCCCCTCAACGACAGTGGTTATTCCTCAGTAAACCGGACACAAGCAGACCATCATGTAAGTAATTTGTTTTACATGAAACAAAAAAATGCTTTTATTTTTAATTGAAATTAATAAAAATAAATTTGTCACAAGATTAGAAGTGATTTATAAAAGCATGTGTGTAAAACTCCAGATAAAAAACTAATTGATAATATTTATAATTGTTGATTTTAATCATTTTCTTATACTTTTGAAATGCAGACAAGTGAATAATTCGACTTTGATCAATTCCATTTAAATATTTATATATTTTAGAGAGAAATAGTTTATTTAGTGCTTAATAAGTTTTAAAATAAAACTTTTATTAAATTTTTTTATCAACTTTCAGGCATCTTTACTGTAATGTGCTACAACGTTTTATGCGACAAGTACGCCACCCGGCAGATGTACGGCTACTGTCCCAGCTGGGCGCTCAACTGGGAATACCGCAAGAAAGGCATCTTGCAGGAGTTAAGAACGTGTGCCGCCGACATCATAAGTCTTCAGGTAATTAATTAATCGAAATTATTTAAAAAAAAAAAATTCATCTGGAAATTCATCTGGAATTTAGTGAATTTAATAACTTTTATACATAATTTTAGGAGGTGGAAACGGATCAGTTCTACAACTTCTTCCGTCCAGAACTGAAAAACGACGGCTACTACGGCATTTTCTCGCCAAAGTCGCGCGCCAAGACGATGGGAGAGAGTGAACGAAAGTATGTCGACGGTTGCGCCATCTTCTTCCGGACTTCCAAGTGCGTTTCTTGTTATGATAATATTTGGAATTTTTCTTAAAAAAAATTTCCGCTCAGGTTCCAGCTCATTGCCGAGCACCTGGTAGAGTTCAATCAGCTGGCCATGGCTAACTCGGAAGGCTCGGACGACATGCTCAACAGGGTCATGCCCAAGGACAACATCGGCCTCGCCGCCCTTCTCAAGACTAAGGAGGCTGCCTGGGAAACAGGTAAATTCTTCTTCTCTGGAATTTTGCAAAATTCACGCTTCTTGGGTGCTCACGCCGGCGAAAAATGATGCAAAATACTGGCCTTTTACTCAAGCCGCCAGAACAGCTCTTGGCTTTGTTTGCCCCCTGAAATCGGACACCCCAAGAATGCCCAAGAGTTAAATCATTTTCATGCTCTGCGATTCTGAAGGAAAGAGTCTGTTGCATCAAGATATTATAACACACACCCTGTGTGGCAACGAAAGTTGTAAAAAGCATGTATAAAATGCTTTCTTCTTCCCTATCAAACAAAATCCAACAGAGAATATAATTTTGCCAAATAATTATTTTACATTAAAATTTAAATAGTACTTTATGGGATAATTTGAAAACAAGATTCTGTTTAAATTTTAAAGAAAAAAGAAGCCAATAATATTGATCATGAGTCATGAGTTTTTGAACAGAGCAGAATACTGAACAGGTTCTGGTTGCAAGATCAATTTAAATTTTCTCTTTTGAGCTACGTATCGATTTTATTTTGCCAACTTCAGTGGGGTGATATGAACTTTGTTTGATGAAATTTTTATAAATTTTAGTCTGGCCAATTTTGAGGAAATAATTAATTTGGACAATTCCCATAAAAATCGATGTTAATTCTCAAAAATTCAGTTGTACCAATTAATTCAATTTTTCCTATACAGAAAAGTTATCAAAATTAATGTAGTGGTTTTTTTAACAGAATTTGTAATTTTTTTAAAGAAGGTGAATCCAGGGTTGTTATTTTAAACTCAATCTACAATAAAAGAAAAATTGGTTTTATAGCTCATTTTTTTTAAATTTTTTTTTCTCAGGTCCGCCTTCTGATCCAGCGCAGGTGAATCAGCTGCTGTTGGTGTGCACAGCGCACATACACTGGGACCCCGAGTTCTGCGACGTCAAACTGATCCAGACGATGATGCTGTCACACGAACTGCGCACCATCCTTGACGAGGCGTCCAACAACTTCCGGCCGGGCCACAAACCCGACCCCAACAGCATCCAGCTGCTGCTCTGCGGCGACTTCAACTCACTGCCCGACTCGGGCGTCGTCGAGTACCTTACAAAGGGCCGCGTGCCGGCCGACCACCGCGACTTCAAAGACCTTAAGTATAAGTCATGTCTTCAGCGCATCTCATCCAGGGACAAGTCCAACGAGTACACACATTCCTTCCAGCTGGGCACCGCCTACACGGAGGATATCATGCCCTACACCAACTACACGTGAGTATCGAAAAAAATTTCAAAGGATTGAAATTTTTAACTCTATTTCATTTTTGCAGTTTTGACTTCAAGGGCATCATCGACTACATTTTCTATCCGAAAACCACAATGACACCACTCGGTTTGCTGGGTCCAATTTCTCCCGAGTGGATGCGAGAAAACAAGGTTGTCGGCTGCCCTCACCCCCACGTACCATCAGGTAATTTACTTTTAAATATAAGTTGGCCTGTTTTTAAAAACTAGGCAAATTAAAAATAATTTAAATTATATTCAGCTGAATTTTTTATATTCATAATGCTATTTCTTTTAAATTTGGATTTTAAAAATTTCTTAAATACAAAAACTTCATCAAAATATCCATTTAATTAAATTATAGTAAAAACTAAAAAGTATTGATTTTAGGAAAAAAACAATTTAATATTTAAATTATACTAAAATTAAATTAATGCCCACTAATTGATTCAAATTTTTAGGACAAGAATTTGTAAACAATTATATGTTAATTATGTTTGAAATAAAATAGGTCAAATGAAAAAAAAAATTAAGAAATAATTGCAAATTAAATTATTTCTTTCAATGAGAACCTGGAAACTAAAACCGCCCTTTTTTTATTTCAGATCACTTTCCTCTGCTTGTCGAGTTGGAGATGAAGCCGTCAGTCAGCTCGGCGAACGGGCTCATCTCGAATCGAAGGTAGCAGTCAGGTAGCACAGCGCTGTGATGCAGGTTGGCCTTCTCCCACGAACTGCAAACCATCGAACAGGCCTAACCGTGCTCCGATTGCCTTCACGATTGAAAAAATGAAAATGACAAGACAGAAGAATATTATCACACTCTCACTGGAACAGAAAAACAAGCAAAACAAACACACTCGCCACTTCCTGCTGTGCTGGCCTTCGTATTTTATAACACATAGATTATATATTCAGCTACGTCCCTGTGATACCTCTCCTTACCCCTGTCCTCCGCCTGGGAAAGGGTGTCCGCCCTCTTTGTCAGAGAAAAACAAAACCTTTGTTAATTGTGCACAATTGATCAGCTTTTTTATAATTTTGTAGTTCTTTTAATCGTTCCTGTCAAATCATTTTTACTTTGAATAAAAACTCGGTCCTCTCCGGCCGACTTTTCGGCGCAGGGGATCTGGAAAGTTTTTGTGGCGAGCCGTCGTGCTGTGTGAAATTAATGAGACTGACTTTTGTCAATGCAGCATTTATATTTAATAAAGAAAGCAACCAACAAATAATAAAGTAACTAACTATTGTGAATCGGCAGCACCACGGCTCCCCCAAATCCAACCCCTTTGGAAATACAAATGTTTGTCTTTGGACGAAATTATTGTCTCTCAAGGACCCTTCCCCCCCCCCATCCCTCCCGCGCACCACCTTCCCCCTGAATGATTTTTGTGTCCCTTTTTATGTTGTGTTGTAATGTGTAAACTCCCATGACAGGTATTTCTGGAAATATGATTGTGTGACTTGTTTATGATTTGATGTAAAAGTGGCTTAAAAAATGATGATTTCAAATTGAACGTTCGACCTGATGATTATCTATATTATCTAAATTGCTTGAAGTCTAAAGGGTTGGGGGCCACGGATTATGTTACTGGTGTTGGTCCTTCCCTAAATCGCCGTGCAATCTTTGTTTTTTTCCCTCGGAATAATAATTTTACTGCGTGAGATAAATACTGAAAGGTCAGGAAAACCAAAAAGACACACAAATGCGACGGTGACGTATCAAATAGCAGATTAAATTGATGAAGGAAATGGAAACAGAGATCTTTTGAGAGCAGATTTTTGGTGAATCTGGAAGATTTTACATGTTGATTTGTTTATTAGCTGCGGATGAACAAGACGTTTGAGATGATCGTAAATATGTGGTTTTTTGTAAACGGCAGATTTTCTGTTCTGCGTGCATGTAACTTACAAAAAAAAAAACTTGAATGTCTTTTATTGCCCATCTAAAGAGAAACGAATTCATCTTGTGATTCCTTTAATTAATTTTTGTCATCATTTAAAACTTAAATAGTATTTTGATTTTAATATAAAGCTTAAAAACCATAAAAAAATAAAAATTTTATTGAAAAAGTAAAATCGATTGGCTTCTCCTTTAATTATTTTTATATAATATAGAAATGATTAAAATGAAAAATTGAAATGAGCGCCTTGCGCTCTGTGATTCAAGACCCTTCGCCCCCAAAACAAAATTTATCAGTTCTCTCGCAACGAACTTAGTTAATAAAATGAATATATTTTAGTTGGAGTTTCATTTTGCTACTGTTTTTTTTTTAATTTTATGGTAGACTGAGTTGGCATTTTTAAAAAACGACAAAAATCACTTTCTGTGTTAGACGATTATTTGATGTCCTCTGATATGGAGAAAAACGGTGTTTTGGTGTGTTAACTTGGAGAAATATTATTGCTTTGGTTGTGTACCCAAGATGTTGGCGCGCGTCCGCACAAAGTTGAGAGAATAATTATTATTCAAGTCGGCCCCAGATTTTATTTTTTGATCTCCATCAGACTAAAGTCAAAATGAAATGAACCAAGAGTGAACTATTTACAAACGCCCCGACAGACCCGTTCAAACGCTAAAAAAGTAACAAGTGCTGGAAAGAGTTTCGCTAGAAAGGTCGTGTGGCCTTTCCCGCTTTGACCTTTTAAGGCTCCATTGTCAAACGAACAAAAGCGCAGCAACTGTGTTTCTTGAGATGAAGTTCAAAGCGCTTATACATATATATTCTCTTGTATGTGATTGGCCAGAAAGATTTTAAAGAAAGAGTGGAAAAAATAACGAATTTATATTTATAAAATAAGCAATATAATGAAAAAATCTCAAAAAGCTCACCGATTCAGTAACATTCCCGAAAATTATTATTGCAGTCCCTTTATTTAAAAAAAAAAAAAAAAAACTGGTCCGAGGGGCAAACTTAAAATCAATTGGGTCTCGTATACTTAAAAGTCTCTTTTCATTTATCGTGTTTCTTTACTTAGATGCGTAAAATGCCCTTGTAGTAGAAAAAAGATCACTGGTATAGTCGGTAGAATTGATGATCTTTTGAGGTTTGGTTTTTTTGTCTTGGTGCCAGCAAATCCAGCAGGAAAAAAATACTATTATTACTTGTATAAAAACGGAGAAGAACATGAAATGACAATGTACAAATCACATTCGTAAACATAAGATGAGCTCTATATATTATAGAAAAACAGCAAAAACGTCAAAACAAATAAAAATATAATTAATAACTCGCCCTTTTTCATCTGGAGCGAGAGGATAGACTCAAAAAATCCGTTGTTCGATTTCACACACACACTCACTTGTCAATCAAACCTGGGAAATGATATTTTTCTCTTTAAACCAGCAGTTATTGAAATAAAATTGAAGCACAAATGTTGTGCTGTTGTCTTTCCAAAACCCTGGACATGATGATTTCTCTTGGCACTCTCTTTCTCTCAATATATTATGATTAATAATATGAAATAGACTACATCTCATACTATTGGAAAACAAAACACTACTACTGTGTCAGGAAAGAAACTGAAAATGTTTGTCTCTTGTCTTAATTCTCCTTGATTTTCTGTAATTTCAGCAGTGGAAACTTTCAAACTCAACATTGTCTCACACTTAAGTGAAAAATAAAGATTAAACCAACTTTTCTCGACTCTGAGAAAGTAAAACTGATTAAAAAATGAAAAAAACCCGCATTTTTTGTTTTCACCTTGTAAAATGCACGAACTTGAACTTTCAACAATTTATTTAATAAGTCTACACAAATGTCAAATGTTAACATTACGTTACGAAATTTGAACTTTGAGAAACATCTTTTTATAATATTTTCCATCCTCGTCTTCTTTTCGTATTAATTTTCCATAGCGTTTTGAACTGTTTTTTTTTTATTTTTTGTAAAGCATTTTTATTTTATTATAATTTTTACAACACCGTTTTATTATTTGAATTTGCAAAAAAGCGCGCGTGTACTTAATTGTAAGTATGTTCAACAATGAGAAAATGGATGAGGCATTTTTTAATTCTTTCGATTTGACCTGAAGCTCAAATTGGGCCGAAACTGAGCGCGTTCACGATTTGCGGGTCGTTTTTGCTGCCCTCGCGAAACTCCTCCATCGTCAGTTGCTCGTCGTGGTTCACGTCCATGCTCGAGAAAATGCGATCCGCCTTCTCTCGAGCACCCTCGCCACTCTCCTCTGACAGGGTGGTGCCCTGACAAAATTTTAAAAGGTCCAATTGCTTTCAATTCTATCAAAAATAAATTGTATTCAAATTAAATTACCGCCATTCTGTATATCGCGTCCACGATGTTGTACATTTCGTCTCTTGTGATGAAACCATCATTGTCCAAGTCGTACAGCTTAAAGGCCCCTTTAATCGAATTTTTTATTTAATTATTACCTCGATTAATTAATTTTTTATGTAGATTACGATAATGATTTAATATCGCAATTTGAATTTGAAATTAAAAGAAAAAAATCAGCATGAATGGTTATTTATATCGATTCTTCCTCAATGAGTTTTGTGAGTTGTTAATTGTTTAAGAAAAAATAATAAATTATCTTGCTCAAAATGTTTTGGCAGCCATAATTTATAAGATTTCTGGTCAAGAGAAGACTCAGCAAATAAACAACTCACAAAATCCATAGAGGAAAAACTGACATTAAATTTAAATCACCATGAATCAACCGTCGATCATGAAATTCTTCTACAAATTATTGTTATAAATTTAAATTTGGGAATTTTATATTATAATTTCTTTTTTATAATGAATTTGTAGATCATTGAATATTATGACACACAAAAATTATAATTTTGAAAGAAGATAAAAAAAAAAGTGAAAGAAATAAGAATTAATTCACAAACTATTGATATGAAATATTGTAATTTGTTTTTTAATCAGATATTTTTTCAAATTTGGTTCTCCAATAATATTTTATTCCGCAAAATTTTTTATGACATTTGATTTTTTTTAATTTACTTTTTTATTCAAAATCTTGAAAACAATGGAAGAATAAAAAATAATTTGCTTCCGTAAAATATTTTAAAAACGATGTCTCTACTCACAATGTAACTTTTCGTCTATGTCTCCTCTTGAGGTAACGGACATTGCTCTCAGGAACTCTGCAAACTCTATTGAGCCGTCTTGGTTTTCATCAAAGACACGAAAAACCAGCGTGGCGAACTTTGTCGGATCTCCTTGCGGGAAAAATTGACGATAAATGTTGACAAATCCCTGTCGAGAACATTTTATTTAATTCCCATTCTTTTTACAATTAATCAAGATTCTAATTACTTCTTCGGTGAGAGTTCCCGTCGGACAGTCCTTCACGAAACCTTTGTACCTGCGAAATGAGAAAGAAAATCGATTTGAGAAGAATTTCATATAAAACTAAAAACTTCCATAATTAGTAACATTTATAGAGGAAAGCACACAGAGAAGTGAGAGGAAGCGTGTCTAATTTAAATCTAGTTTTAAGTGCGTTTAGTGTTAATTAATTTAAAACACGGGATATTTACCATTTTTTAATTTCCTTTTCTGAAACTTTAGCATGAAAATTAAGAAGTAAATCCTTGTTTAGTGTTTGCTCGTTTAAAAAGATGAAAAGAGAGAGAGAGTAGAGAATTCACACATATAGAGGAGAGACACAGGAAATATGAAGAAGAGAAAAACAGACGAGACAGACAAAGGACAGGACAAAAGTGACAAATCGCAATAAAAATCCAATTAATAGTTAAAATTGCAGACTCAAATTCTGGCTTATTTCCCAACATGAGATTAAATAAGGAATTTATTATTTTTTAAATTTGAATCGGAAGCGTGCCGTGTTTTTGTTGCGTGTAACACAATCTGATGTGGTTTCCCGCCGGCCGTGACGTCATCAGTGCGACACGTCGACCCTCCCCCTCGACCCTTTCCTTTCCCTTTGAAGACTCGCAGCTGGCGAAACAAGTGTCCGTCGACGACGCCGGCTTTCGAGGATTTCGCCACTTTCCCGGGACATGCCCGCATTCTAACCGGACCTCCAACTAGGCCAACAACTTAAGAGACCCTCACCTCGAAAAAATGGCACCTCATCAGGTTGGAAATTCGAAAAATCGTCCACAAAAGTAGATTTTAAATGAAAGTTTTCAGCGTCTTCCGTCCTTGCTGCTGGTGTTGCTCCTCCTGCTGTGGGGTGCTCGCAGTGTGAAGAAGGAAGATACCCTGGAATTGGTCTCGGACGACGACCTCGTCAACCTGGTCCGCACCGAGAAACACGTTGTCGTCGCCTTCAGTAAGATTTAACCTCAATTTAAAAGTGGACATTTTTTGGTTAAAAAAAAAAAAAAAATTAATTTTTTAATGCTTGAATAAATTTAAAAAAAATCAGACTTAAATTTATTCCAAATGTTTTTTTTTTAAATATGAGATTTTAAATTTTAATATGTATTTTAATTTTTTTCTTCAATTTTAGCGCAAAGAGACAATGAGCAGAGTGAGAAATTGGAGGACGCCGTGCTCGCCCTGAGAGAGGATCTGGTCGACGCCCTTGGTGCCTGGGTCGTCAGGGTGGAGAACAGTGCCATGGCCCGTCTGTACAACCCCAAAGCGCCAAACACACCCTTCATCGTCTACTTCCGACACGGCGTCCCTCTGCTCTACGACGGTCGGTCCTCCGGAATATAAAGTGTTGGGCAAAAATTTCATCTTTTGAATTTCTCTTCAGGTGACCTCGACGAAGACCTGATCTTGCACACCTTCAGCAACAGCAAAGAGCCAGCCGTGCGAGAGCTCAACGACGACGTTTTCGAGCACCTGACTCAGGCGGCCACTGGGGCCACAACTGGAGACTGGTTCATCATGTTGTAAGTTTGAAAAAAAAAATTGTATACCAAAATTGGTTGTTAAAAAAATTTAGTTAAGAACACAAAACTAAATTCTTGGATGAAAATTTAGCCAATTAGGTCCAATCAAATCACATAAACTATTTTATATATTTTAATTATTAGTTTTTTTGAAAATGAAAAAAAAAATTATTTTATTCAATTACTCTGATTGAAATTAATTATGTCATTTACCTTTATTTCATATTTATTTAGATTTTCAGAATAAAAAATTTATATCTGTTATTTAATTAGTTAATTTAGTGAAATAAAAAGTTTGATCCATTTTTTTTTAATAAGTAATTATTTTAAATTTGATTTGATTAATTTATTTTTTTGTTCATCTTTCGCAGCTACGGAATAACCTGCGTCGACTGCCAGCGCCTTCAGGCCACCTGGGAGGCTGTGGCCGCCAAGCTGAAGTCACGTCTGAACGTGGCCCGCGTCAACATGCAGGTCAACGGAGCGGCCACCGGCCGTAGATTCCGCGTCCACAAGATGCCCACCTTCATATTGTAATAATTATCCACATCAATTTCCACGTTCCAATCTCATTTGTCCGGAAATTGTTTGCAGCTTCCGGCAGGGCAAGCTGTACCGATACCCACTGGACAAGCTGGACGTGCCCTCGCTCACCAGTTTTGCCACCGAGTGGTACAAAAATGCCAGGGCTGAACCTGTGCCGACACCCCTCAGTCCGTTGTGAGTAAAAAAAATAACTCAATATTTATAAAATACAAAATCAAACAAGTATAACTTTTGAAAATGAAAATTATGAGATAATAAATAATTAAAATAAAAAAATAATAAGATGAAAAATTGTACAAAATTTAATTGAAAATTGTAAATTTTTTTTAAATACATTATGTTTTGATATTTTTAATCAAAATTAAAAATCTCTTTTAATCAACTATGAATGCTCTGAAACAATAATAAGATTTTAAATAAATAAAAAATCAAAAGAGAAACTTAACGGATTTGTAACAAAATATGAATATATTTGCAGAATAACAATTATTTTTTATTTAATTATGTAACAATAAGTGGATGGCAGAAAAATGTTGTAACTGAAACACCATGTTTTATGAAAAAAAAAATTAAATTTAACTAAAATTAAAGGAAAGGAAAACTAACAAAGGTATGATTTTTGTTTCTAGTGACGACCTGACTCAAGCTGTTGCCGACTGGTTGCGTTACACCGAGTGGCCGTGGATGGTGGCCACCGGTGGCAGCTTGATCGGCATACTCGGCATCTTGGCGTTCTGCATGCTCGGCAAGAAGAAACAGGTGCAGAAGAAGCAGAAAAAAGCAAAGTAAGCTTTTGGATCGAACAAGCCGAACCCCCGACTAATTCCTTTCAGATATTACTGAGTGAGTTCAGCGAGTGTGCGTAAGTTTGTTTGACTCTGATTATCATTATTATTTTTATGTCGTTATGAAAGAAAGAAAGCAAGTGTGGCGCGGTTGAAAGAAAAACAAAAGCTCTTCGTTTTGTTCCTGAATTAATTCTTAAGACTACAATTTTTTACTCGACTAACAAAATATGAAAGTTTGCAACAACTAATCAAGCCAAGCTTTTTGCCATTCCCGGCGCTTGCGGCAAAAGTTCGGAACTTCTCGCTGCAGCGGCTTTTTGTACGGCTCTCAACTCACAGAGTTTGGATATATTTTGATATATATAAAAAGTATGAAAATAAACGAGATGAAAAAAAAACACGAGTGAATAAAAAAAAAGTTGGTTTCAATGCTCACAGTAGGTCTCCTTCTTGAGCCGCTCGAGCACCTCCGGGTCCAACTTGGAGTGCTTCTTGCCCATGCTCCTGCAACACACAATACCCTGCAATGCAGATTTTGCAAAAAATTTCCTCCACTGTGGAATTTCGTCGTTCGGATCGATTTGCCGCCGCCGAGAGTCGATTTGCAAACTTCGCCATTGTTCCGTCTGTGTCGGGAGGAAATTCGCTGCGAGCGGCGCAAAATGGCCAGCGAAATATTTATGGCGTGTGCACATTTCGAACCGAGGGAATATTGTTTCAAATAAATGGAATGGAAACGGCTCTCAAAATAGCCGCGTCGGAAGTTTCAAGGGTCTTGGGCGCCAAGTGGTACTTTATGGATGTGTTGGAAAAATGGCCTCACCGATACAGTGCATTTCAGCTTTCAATATTATTGAATCCTCTAATATAGCTTTCTCGGAGGTCATCTTTTTCAATTGAAGTAAATAATACAATTTTGCAAATAAACATTCAATTTTAAAATTATCTTAATTTTTCTAGCCAAGACCTGCATTACTGGTTTTTCATCATTATCTTTATGAAATTACAATAAAAATGAAAGAAAATACAAAATTTCCAAGGAATTGCATTAATATTATTTTTCGAATTTGGAAATATTACAAGTAAAAAGATTTTAGACTACTAAATTCTCTGATTTTATCCTGAAAAGTTGAATTTTCCATATAAATGGACTAATATATTAAAGAATTATAAAAAAAAAAATTAAAAGCCAAACAGTAAGATGCATGGAGCCGTAACATTTTGAGATTGACGATGAGACTGTAAAAACTTGAATTATGAATTTGGAAATTTTACAACTCTTGGGAAAACCAAGTCCCATTAAGAAAATTTGATGTTTAGAACAGCAAAGTAAGCCTCTCTTTGTCCGTAATTTAAGAAAACAGCTTTTCCAATAATATTATTTTGTGGAATCTTTATTTTCTTTAATTTTTTGAATGCATTATTTTAAAACTATTTCTATAATTTTTAGCAAAAATCAACATTGCCAACAGTGCGGAAAAATAATTAATAATAAAAATCTATTAAAATAGAGATTTATTTTGTAAAATTTCTCAAATTGTTTTTAAAGAAATCTTTTTCTTCAATTTTTCTAGCTAGTTTAAAAAAAATGGCATAGAATGAAAATTTCTTTTTTAAATAACTCCTCGGCATCTGCGTCACGCATGTTGCAGCTGGCAAAGTATTACAGAATTTTTAATCAAATTTTGCATATTTTTAAGTTGGAATAAATAAAGGTGATTAAAAAAATGGTCTGGGAACTTCAACGATAGTGACGGTGGATAAAAAGCTGACAATAGTCAGTAATAAAATTCAATGTCACGGTCTATTTCGGGACAAAATTGTCGTGCCAAAAGCCGTTCCACTTTTCTCAGGGACGTGCTGATTTAGCGCAAAAATAACCGACACGAGAGAGGGAGAGTTAAAAAGATCAGAGACGAATTTTGTTTTTCAAAAAGAGAGAAAGAGGAAGTGGCGGAAAGCGTCGGTCGCAAAACAAGCTGCGTCCAACTGCGAGTAATTTGGCGCAGCTTCTCGCGGTCGGAAACGCGCGTCCGTCTTTTGTGTGCGCGACGCTGCACAATGGGCTCTTTCGAGAGGGCCTTTAACGGGGTAGGCGCGGCGAGAGAGCCCAATCGATGCTCCACAACAGTTTGTGCGAGAGCTCAATTTTGCAGCCGGGCAAATATATAAAAGCGACGCGTTTTGGACGCGACCTGCTTTTCGTGGCGGAATCGATAGCGAAGAAAAGCAGCTTATATCAAATGAACAGCGCGAAAAAAATCGAACGCAGGCGAAAAGTTATTCCTGCTCCTCATCGGCAAATTGCCGAGCGAGCACATATTTTATTATATTATTGTGCGCGTCGCGTGCACCGAGGCAGTCGAAATCGCAGCCTCTGCTTTTGAGCTTTTGTTTGCCTGAGTCGTGCGTGTGCGCAAAATCCGTGCAATGTACAAAAACCAAAACCGTGTCGGCCCGAAAATTCAACTGGCACACGCTTCGATCCGGGAATTTTATTTTCATCCTGCGAAGGAGGAAAACATCTGATAACATTTGAGTGAAAAGAGCGTTCAGTCTTTCTCACAACAACAGATTAACTTCCGCCCTAGGTAGAAGAACCGTTTAAAGAGATAAGATTCACGAGTCCATTCTTGAAAATCCTCGGGAAAAATCGTCATTCTCAAGAGATTGAACCGGGGCGATTTTCGAAACCAACCCTCCAAAGATAAAACTCTTTTCTCTTATTGATTCAAACGCTTTTCAAGTTTTCAAATCATCTTCAGTGATTTATTTTAATTAATTACTTGAATTATCAAATATTTAAATACAACCAAACTTATTAAGCTGATCATATTGCATTAAAATTTATTTTTGTTTAGTTGCATTTGTTTTGGTAATCCATTTAATTTTAGAATAGGAAGAAGTGTGCTGCTGGGAGACATCGCTTTGGAAAACTCATGTGCAAGTGAGAGAGATTATTAAAACTCTAAGACTATAACGTTTTCTTTGGCTTGAAACTAATAAAACGAGAATTAAGCAACATAAATAACAAATATGTCAGCAAGAGCTCACAAAATGAGAAATTGTTAATAAAAATATCAAGAAAATTTCATTCTCGTCGCCTTTTTAGAACGGGAAAAATAATCGTGTCTGAAAAATAGAGAATCGCGTTTTTGGTTTCTGTAAAAATGATTTACATGAAATTTAAAAAAATGAGAAAAGAAAGAAAAGCAAGTTATGTCGGGCTCGCAGCGGCGACCGTCTCTTTTTATGTCTGGTGTTTTAGCTGACCCCTGTGCTAATTGTTTATCTTCTTTTTAAGCTTTCATGGATTTTTAGTCATGAATTGAGGAGCAATAATAAAAGTTTGTTGATCGTATTCAATAATTTTATTTTTGTGTGGATAAAATGAAATAGTTATTGAATTTTTACTAGGTATTTTTACATAATCTTTATTATGAAATGAATTAAGCAGTTATAGAAATGTATGAGATCCGCTTATATAAAATAAAAGTATATATTTATAATGTCATAGAAAAATCCACAAAATTAAAAGCCGGATATTCTTCTAGTCATGTCGAGTCGATATATTTTTTATTGATCATCACAGCAACACATATGCGTGTTCTCAAATTTCTTATTTTAAGAAGCTTTCTCATTGCGCGCCAGATCTGTTTCACGTTCTGCGACGTTCGTCCCTTGAACTTTCTACGACCATCCATTACAAACTTCTCTGCACAGTAATTATTATTGGCCTCCCATGTGCAAAAACATTTTTGTGGCAGAAATTTTATAAATCCTTTTTTTTAATTCCCACCTCGGCGTGGGACTCTCTTGAGGATTCTGCGTTTTACCCAGAGTGGAAAGGCTTTTTTATTTTATAATTATTAAATTATTATTTTTTTATTATGTAATTTTCTCTATCCAAATTATCATGTTAACAATTTGTTAAATAGAAAGCAATATTAAAATTTAAATAATTGTCAACTGGGTTAAGAAAATAAGTTATTTTAAAATGAATCTTTCACTTCCTCTTTTTTAAATACTAAATGTGAGTCCCTTAATATATTTCATTCTCATTTTCCTCGTTTTATTTCTTTAGCTTAGTTCACATTTTTTTCTTTTCCTTACTGCCGATCGTAATTTCAATTGCACCAACCTAATGAATTGGAATGAAACTCAATATCCTCTCGATCCTCCCGTCTTTTCGCAGGAAAAAACGTTAAGGTGGAATGGTGTGTCGCTGCGGAAAAGCCCCGTGAAGATCGCCGATTTGTCTTTTTCGGGGTGCGCCGCACACACAAAGACGGGCTGAGTTATTTTGGCGCACCGACTCTTTATTTCTTTGCTCGGCTCGGGCGATGAGTGCAGGAGAGGCGCAAAAAGAAGCTCAGCCAGATTAATTCCCGCATGATTTATGGTCGCGGCTTTTCCCTTTGGGTGCGCGATTTATGGGCAGGTCGAGCGTTTTCCGCCGCTCGAGTGGCGAAAGGTGGCCTACATTTGTGTGTTCCCTCGGCTGCTGGCACGTTTTGTTCCTCTCACTTGCTCTTGCCACTGCATTTTTATGACGGGGCTCAGCGTGACGAGCGGTCGTTACGAATTTTTGTCACTTCACCACCCACGACTAATTGCGCGCGGATTCTCTTCACAAACAAAGGCACAGAGCCTCCCTCACTCGTGACCTTTTTGTTGTTAATTTAATTGCTTTCTCTCTGCTGCTGGAACCGAATTACAAAAGGCACGTGGGCGGCCCTTTTTGTTGCTCCTCATAAATATTTATCAGAAAAATTGAGGAGGGAAAAATTGTGTGATGAATATTAATGTAGCGATCTGTTGCGATCCGTTTTATTTCGGTTGTGTTCGAGAGTAGCAGAGCAGATTTTCATTGTGAATGTTTTCCCCAAAATAATCACTGTTGTTATAAACCAGATATCATTTATAGATTTAGATAAAAATACTTTGGGAGTGGTAGTGATTTTTGGTGTCATGAGGAAAAACTGGGAGGAGTGATTCCCCAAAATTTGTAAAATTTACATTGGGATGTTTAAAAATATGATTGCACATTTATTCAAATTCTTAGCCATGCAGCTATAATTCAATTGAATGAAAAACTGTTGAAGTAAAATTGTAAAAATGAGTTTAAAGTTCATGAAAAGTTTTTTATTAAAATAGCTTAATTTCACGGTTGTCCCGTTCAGTAATTTAAAAATTTTTTGCAAAATAAATTATAATATCCGCCAAAAATTGGTAGTAAAATGAATAATCTAATTTTTTCTACAAATAAACTAGAAAACAGGAGCCTTCTAGAATTTATTGGTATATCTGAAGAAAGAGAAATCGTAAATGTTCTGAATAAAATCAATAAATTTTCTCCCTGCTGTGGGAATCTTGATGGATATTGGGGTAAATTTGGAAATCCACACAAGATGAAAATACGTACGGTGAAATAAATGTAAATTGACATAATGAAAATGTATAATTTTACATATTAATTTATTATCCTTAAACTTAACTTTCACTTACTTAATAATATTTTTGAAAATAGTTTTCTTTTTTCGAATTTTTCTTTCATAGAATATCAGTACAAAATTATAATAAAATAAAGATTCGAGCTATTGATTTATTGAGGTCATTGCAATGTTTTTTTTCTGTGTAAAAGACAATTTAAACATTTTTAAGGATTGCTGTGGAAACTAAACATATTTTAAAAGTTATATAAAAGCTAATTTCAAACATCTTTATTATTTTTTCCCAAAAAATAACCTAATTTTTTACAATTTAGCTTTTTCGTCTCTTTAATTTGATTTGTTTTCATCAATTTATATTTGAACGCTTTGGTTTAAATCTCTCCAGCATTAAATTCAACATTGAAAATTATGGGTTTGCACATTTTGTTGTGAAAAGCTTTCACAATGTTCAGCTAGACTATATGAACGCGAGGCCTTTTTCGAGACAAATCGTTGTTATTTTGTGTGTCCACACGCTGAATTATTGATCACGGTAAACAAAACAAGACGCTTTTCTCGGAAGCGTGCAGCTTCGCCCGACCGTGTGTACACCAGAAAACAAAAGTTTGGAAAGATAACAGAAGCGTTACAAAATTGGCAGCGAACGTACAAGTGGAGAATATATAGCAATCTCGCGAGAGAAAGATGTAAAAAAGGTCCAGTCCACTCGGCCGGAAAAAAGCTCGCCCGTTCAGAACTTTTGGCATTTGACATTTTTTTGAAAAGAAGAGTCGAAACGAAAGGGAGAGAGAAACGGCGATGGTATCAAGAAGAGAGAAATGGAAAAAAGAGCCGTGGGGCGCGCGTGCATTGAAGCGTCCGAGAGCAAACAAACAGGGAAATAAGCTGGAAAGTACCTTTTGTCAGGGAGGCCTCCCTCCAGCGGCGCGCTCTCGATTGATTATTGCGGGGCTGCAGCTGCTCCTCGGCTGGCTGGCCTGGCTGGCCCGCTTGCTCGTCGCCGACTGCCTCGTTCTCGCTCGCACCCCGCTGTACCATCTCGGTCGGTGACGTCACCCCGCGCACCCCCGCAACTCGCGTGAGCCGCCGAATTAACTGTCCCTTTGCATGGAGGTTCCCTGAAAAAAAAGATACCTCCCATCCTCTCAATCCGATTACGAGTTTTGATTAATCACTCTCTAATTTATAATTTCTTCCAGACGTTTTCTTTTTCTCCCTCGCATCAAATCACACTCTCTTTCTTTTTCTCCCTTCAACGTGATTGCGGAGCCTCTGTGAGATTTATTGGCCGTAAAATGTGCTGTTGCGATTTCCCTTCCTGCCCAAGAGAACACGCCTTTTCCATCGACCTTTTTATTTGCTCGTTATACCTAGATTTTATTACTTTATTACGGCATTGCGTCTCTTTCTCTCTGCTCATCAAAAGCCTGCGTCGTCTCTGCTGAATGTCAATACCAGATCCTGAAAGGAAAACGCTTTCTCGCCACATATGGTTTGCGTTTGAAAGAAAAAACAAAAAACGCCTGCTGAGACATAGTTATGCAACATGCGCGGCTACAATGTTTCACAAATTGCATACCTTTCATCAAAGTGTTATCCGAGGATTGAAACCTTAATTTTTATTCATAAATATTTCAAATCGGATACAGACCTATAATCCAAGGATTAAAGCAGATTTTATACCTTTTGCTTCATGGAGTTGATTAAAATTTTCAATATTTGCTAGTTTTATTTTTATAGGTAGCGCTAAAATATATTGACACATGAAAATCGGCGTATATTATTACCTAAAACTCTTAATTTTGTTTCATAAATATTTCTAATTGAGAAGAGACCTATAATCCAAGGATAAAAGCTGATTATATTCCTGTTGCTTCATGGAATTGATTTAAATTGTCAATCTTTGCTAGTTTTATATTTATAGCAAGCGCTAAAATATATTGACACATGAAAATCGGTGTATATTTTTTCCTAAAACTCTTAATTTTAATTCATAAATATTTCTAATCGGGAAGAGACCTATAATCCAAGGATTAAAGCTGATTTTATTCCTGTTGCTTCATGGAATTGATTAAAATTGTAAACCTTCGCTAGTTTTATTTTTATAGCAACCGCTGAAATATATTGACACATGAAAATCGGTGTATATTTTTTCCTAAAACTCTTATTTTTTTCCTAAATATTTCTAATCGGGAAGAGACCTATAATCCAAGGATTAAAGCTTATTTTATTCCTGTTGCTTCTTGGAATTGATTAAAATTTTCAATATTTGCTAGTTTTATTTATATAGCTAGCGCTAAAATATATTGACACATGAATATCGGTGTATATTTTTTACTAAAACTCTTAATTTTTTTCATAAATATTTCTAATCGGGAAGAGACCTATAATCCAAGGATTAAAGCTGATTTTATTCCTGTTGCTTCATGGAATTGATTAAAATTCTCAACCTTCGCTAGTTTTATTTTTATAGCAACCGCTGAAATATATTGACACATGAAAATCGGTGTATATTTTTTCCTAAAACTCAAAATTTTTTTCATAAATATTTCTAATCGGGTAGAGACCTATAATCCAAGGATCAAAGCTGATTTTATTCCTGTTGCTTCATGGAATTGATTAAAATTGTCAACCTTCGCTAGTTTTATTTTTATAGCAACCGCTGAAATATATTGACACATGAAAATCGGTGTATATTTTTTCCTAAAACTCTTATTTTTTTTCATAAATATTTCTAATCGGGAAGAGACCTATAATCCAAGGATTAAAGCTGATTTTATTCCTGTTGCTTCTTGGAATTGATTAAAATTTTCAATATTTGCTAGTTTTATTTTTATAGCTAGCGCTAAAATATATTGACACACGAAAATCGGTGTATATTTTTTCCTAAAACTCCTAATTTTTTTCATAAATATTTCTAATCGGGAAAAGACCTATAATCCCAGGATTAAAGCTGATTTTATTCCTGTTGCTTCATGGAATTGATTAAAATTGTCAACCTTCGCTAGTTTTATTTTTATAGCAACCGCTGAAATATATTGACACATGAAAATCGGTGTATATTTTTTCCTAAAACTCTTATTTTTTTTCATAAATATTTCTAATCGGGAAGAGACCTATAATCCAAGGATTAAAGCTGATTTTATTCCTGTTGCTTAATGGAATTGATTAAAATTGTCAACCTTCGCTAGTATTAATTTTATAGCAACCGCTGAAATATATTAACACATGAAAATCGGTGTATATTTTTTCCTAAAACTCTTATTTTTTTTCATAAATATTTCTAATCGGGAAGAGACCTATAATCCAAGGATTAAAGCTGATTTTATTCCTGTTGCTTCTTGGAATTGATTAAAATTTTCAATATTTGCTAGTTTTATTTTTATAGCTAGCGCTAAAATATATTGACACACGAAAATCGGTGTATATTTTTTCCTAAAACTCCTAATTTTTTTCATAAATATTTCTAATCGGGAAAAGACCTATAATCCCAGGATTAAAGCTGATTTTATTCCTGTTGCTTCATGGAATTGATTAAAATTGTCAACCTTCGCTAGTTTTATTTTTATAGCAACCGCTGAAATATATTGACACATGAAAATCGGTGTATATTTTTTCCTAAAACTCTTATTTTTTTTCATAAATATTTCTAATCGGGAAGAGACCTATAATCCAAGGATTAAAGCTGATTTTATTCCTGTTGCTTCTTGGAATTGATTAAAATTTTCAATATTTGCTAGTTTTATTTTTATAGCTAGCGCTAAAATATATTGACACACGAAAATCGGTGTATATTTTTTCCTAAAACTCCTAATTTTTTTCATAAATATTTCTAATCGGGAAAAGACCTATAATCCCAGGATTAAAGCTGATTTTATTCCTGTTGCTTAATGGAATTGATTAAAATTGTCAACCTTCGCTAGTATTAATTTTATAGCAACCGCTGAAATATATTAACACATGAAAATCGGTGTATATTTTTTCCTAAAACTCTTATTTTTTTCATAAATATTTCTAATCGGGAAGAGACCTATAATCCAAGGATTAAACCTGATTTTATTCCTGTTGCTTCTTGGAATTGATTTAAATTTTCAATATTTGCTAGTTTTATTTTTATAGCTAGCGCTAAAATATATTGACACACGAAAATCGGTGTATATTTTTTTCTAAAACTCCTAATTTTTTTCATAAATATTTCTAATCGGCAAGAGACCTATAATCCAAGGATTAAAGCTGATTTTATTCCTGTTGCTTCATGGAATTGATTAAAATTGTCAACCTTCGCTAGTTTTATTTTTATAGCAACCGCTGAAATATATTGACACATGAAAACCGGTGTATACTTTTTCCTAAAACTCTTAATTTTAATTCATAAATATTTCTAATCGGGAAGAGACCTATAATCCAAGGATTAAAGCTGATTTTATTCCTGTTGCTTCTTGGAATTGATTAAAATTTTCAATATTTGCTAGTTTTATTTTTATAGGTAGCGCTAAAATATATTGACACATGAAAATCGGTGTATATTTTTTCCTAAAACTCTTAATTTTTTTTCATAAATATTTCTAATCGGGAAGAGACCTATAATCCAATGATTAAAACTGATTTTATACCTGTTGCTTCATGGAATTGATTAAAATTGTCAACCTTCGCTAGTTTTATTTTTATAGCAACCGCTAAAATATATTGACACATGAAAACGGTGTATACTTTTTCCTAAAACTCTTAATTTTAATTCATAAATATTTCTAATCGGGAAGAGACCTATTATCCAAGGATTAAAGCTGATTTTATTCCTGTTGCTTCATGGAATTGATTAAAATTGTCAACTTTCGCTAGTTTTATTTTTATAGCAACCGCTAAAATATATTGACACATAAAACCGGTGTATACTTTTTCCTAAAACTCTTAATTTTAATTCATAAATATTTTTAATCGGGAAGAGACCTATAATCCAAGGATTAAAGCTGATTTTATTCCTGTTGCTTCATGGAATTGATTAAAATTGTCAACCTTTGCTTGTTTTATTTTTATAGCAACCGCTAAAATATATTGACACATGAAAACCGGTGTATACTTTTTCCTAAAACTCTTAATTTTAATTCATAAATATTTCTAATCGGGAAGAGACCTATAATCCAAGGATTAAAGCTGATTTTATTCCTGTTGCTTCATGGAATTGATTAAAATTGTCAACCTTTGCTTGTTTTATTTTTATAGCAACCGCTAAAATATATTGACACATGAAAACCGGTGTATACTTTTTCCTAAAACTCTTAATTTTAAATCATAAATTTTTCTAATCGGGAAAAGACCTATAATCCAAGGATTAAAGCTGATTTTATTCCTGTTGCTTCATGGAATCGATTAAAATTTTCAATATTTGCTAGTTTTATTTTTATAGCTAGCGCTAAAATAAATTGACACATGAAAATCGGTGTATATTTTTCCTAAAACTCAAAATTTTTTTCATAAATATTTCTAATCGGGTAGAGACCTATATTCCAAGGATTAAAGCTGATTTTATTCCTGTTGCTTCTTGGAATTGATTAAAATTTTCAATATTTGCTAGTTTTATTTTTATAACTAGCGCTAAAAAATATTGACACACGAAAATCGGTGTATATTTTTTCCTAAAACTCCTAATTTTTTTCATAAATATTTCTAATCGGGAAGAGACCTATAATCCAAGGATTAAAGCTGATTTTATTCCTGTTGCTTCATGGAATTGATTAAAATTGTCAACCTTCGCTAGTTTTATTTTTATAGCAACCCCTGAAATATATTGACACATGAAAATCGGTGTATATTTTTTCCTAAAACTCTTATTTTTTTCATAAATATTTCTAATCGGGAAGAGACCTATAATCCAAGGATTAAAGCTGATTTTATTCCTGTTGCTTCATGGAATTGATTAAAATTGTCAACCTTTGCTTGTTTTATTTTTATAGCAACCGCTAAAATATATTGACACATGAAAACCGGTGTATACTTTTTCCTAAAACTCTTAATTTTAATTCATAAATATTTCTAATCGGGAAGAGACCTA